AATGACCTGAGTTCTTTCCAGGTCTGAATATCTGATTCCTGCTTAGTTCTCATCTAACAGTTTCATAATCAGCCAGAGCTGACTGTGTGTGCTAGGTATGGTAACCATTGGTTGGTTTAGCGTAGGAAAGACACAGCTTTCCTACAGTTTTGAATTTGGGACAGAAAGGAAAAAAACCAGGGCAAAAAAGGTAAAGGTTTAATTGGATGGTATATGCATTCTTGAATCTGGATAAATAAAATATTGAGATGGCATTATCAGAAGACTTATCACCATCTCTTAAAACTGTATTATATAACAGCAATCTTGAAGACTTTTCTTGAATGATGGAAATCCATTCAGAAATGATTGTTAGCATTGTGTGTCCTGCACTAATATCTTGTCACAATAGAACTTGTGAATAACTTGGCATTAATTCATTATGTGGTATGGCTTCTTGGGAGTACAATTTCAGCTTTCCTCTTGCATGAAAATATTGTTCACAAAACAATTTTTGAATGTCAAGCTAGGTTCCATTCTTCACAGGAGGGTGAAAAAGAAACCCACAAGAATTCTTTTGATATGTAAGCTAAATACCCTAAAGAAAATAATGAAATGGAAAGCACAGAAATTGGACTCATAACTGCATATCGTTTTATGCAAGAGAATAGAACCTGGAAAATATCACAAGATTTTATCCCGTAATTGGTCTGACTGGATAACCAAATCAACTTTGAATTAAAGACAAACTCATTTTGAAATTTTTGAAGTGTTTTGGCTTTTCTTATTAGAAAATCAGAGCATGAGTGTTTTTTTTTAATGCATAAAGTTTAGGGAAACTTTGACTTCAAAACATAGGGGTTTTGATCAGCTTTCACAGAGGTATATGAATATGTCACCCTCAATATGGAAAAAGTAGAATGTTTCTCATTAAAATTATGCTTCTGGATCTTTCCTTACTACTTCCAATTTTCTCATTCTCTTTAAATTATGTTATGTAGATTTGACCTTGGATAGTCATAAATGCCTTTTAAAATGTTGTTAATTTGAAACAAACATGTTACTGATAAATGTTTCCTACTTTAGTTCCTCTGAAAAATATTATGATTTGATTTTTAAAAATTGTTTAAAGAACAGCTATCTGGTCTTTTCATTGCTTGATCATCTTTGAATCCCTCTTGTGCCTTAAACCCTCATCCTATGCAGCGTTGTTGTTGTTCGGACACACAGCTTCAGGAGTAACACGCATTAGATTAACACCATGATTACTTTCCAGTTCTTAGATTAATATTTGAGCATATTTGGTTGAGTATGTGTATGTTAATTGGAGGGTAAATGAAATAGAAAGAGACTGGGCCATGGGATGGGGGAGGTTAGAAAAAATAGGTTGGTAGGAGATAAATATTCTACATAAGTTATTTACTTATTATTTTTTCTGTTGTGATCTATTTCACTCCAATAAAATAAAAGCCTCATGAGTGCAAGGGTCTTTGATTTATTCTCTGATATAGTCAAAGCAAATAGAACGGTGTTTTGCACATGGTAGGAACATAGTACAATTTGTTGAATTTTACTTGAATAAATCAGTACCATAATTAATTAGTAATAAGTTACTTAAGAGGATGAGAATTTTGCCTTGTGGAGTACATTCCTCATTCAGGATGGGTTGGTGAATTTGTTTCAAATGCAGGGTGGTTATATGCCTCCTGAGATCCTTTCCAGTAGACATGTATATGTGTGTGTGTGTGTGTGAGAGAGAGAGAGAGAGAGAGAGAGAGAAAGAGAGAGAGACAGAGACAGAGAGACATAGAGAGAATACAAATGAATTTCTGATTTACTGAACTGGTTGAAGTTTTCAATTCCTTTAAACATGTTACTTTCCAAAAAGAAATGACTTCATGATTAATTAAATGAAAACAAATTACTGTTAAGAAAAAATAAACCTCACTACTTTGCATAACAATGTGGAAACTCTAATAATGACTATTTGACAAATTAAATATGTTTTATTTCATAAGATCATTGTATTTATCACATTGCTATTCATATTAAATGCGATCTTTTTAGAAAAGTTATGCAGTACTGAAATTAAAATCTGGTATAGTTCAAAAGTGAATTTAGTGGCCTAGAGTCTTGACAAGTTGACATTTACTTAAGTTAGTAAAATCCATTTAGAAAATATGGCAGTATGAGCTCACAGGCTGCCCTGGAGCAAAACAAGTCAAAACCGAAGTGAATTTGCAGAACTGGCAGAACTTGAATCGCGTGTATAAACCGAGTAGCTAGCACTATCCATTACCTCCCCTAAGCCTGTGCCCCCCTGCACACATACCCTGCATCATTTCAGCTTTGAGTCAAACATAGACCGTACTGCTTTACCCTAATATCTGTGCTCACTGATACATTTCTCTGCACTTGATTACATTTTGTCCTGGTGGTTTTGAAGATATATTTAATTATCTGAAAAAACAATCTCCCAAAGTAAAAGTCCCCCCCTCCCTTAAAAAAACGCCTTAAAATGAGTACAAAGGCTCTGTTTCTGTTTAAAGACTTGTGGCTCACCCCAATACATAATACAGTGCAGTTACAAGAGGCTACTTGATAGCAATGTGAAAAAACACTTTCTCAGCCAAGTAGTTAAAATTTTCCCTAGAAGTTCCACTTTTAGTATTGGCTGCTATTCATAACTTAGTTATAATTTAAGCTTATTTTAAAATTATTAATTAATAATGCATAACACATTTTAATCTTATTTCCCCCATATCAACCCATAGGGGAACCAGTTTACCAGCTCACAGCACTGTATAAATAAAACACAAAACAAAAATCAACTGTTTAATGTGTTTAGTAATCTTAATAAAATCCTGAAAGTTACAATTAAAATATTGCAATATTAAAATAATCACCTGGAAGCAGGTAAATTTTGTATGGAAATGTAACAAACCACAAGCTGTACTCTCCTTAATTATATCAGAAAAGTAGACTTTTAAACCAGATGTGATGACTACTAAGGAGAAAATACTTACTGCCAATTTTCTGCTAACTCAAAGGCAACGGGTAAGTGTTGAACTAAAATCGTCCTAAAAATTCCATTTACAGTTCATGGATTGTGATGGAAAAACGTGAAACCATCCTTCACACAAAACTAACATCACTGCTAGTTTACCAGTACGTTATTCATCTGCTTCAGAATAATTTACGTTACTAAATTGGGAAAAAATGGAACCTTTACAATTAAAAAAAAAAAATGGCGAAAATTGCTGACATTTTGGACAGCTCCCTCCTGATTTTTCTGCACTATTTCTGTTGTGTCTTACTTTCATTTTCTCTGCCTTACCAAATCAGAAATGAGCCCAACTAAAGTTATTTTTGCAGTTTGGGTTTGAGTTTGAGTTTTGTTGCATTGTGCTGTGTTTTGGGGCAAAAGATTCCTCCAGTGAAAGAGGAATAGAGCTACACAACAGGAAAGTGCTGTTCTCAGTTCAAGATCTGGCTCCCTTTAATGAGCCAATTTTTATTTTCCTAAGAAAACAAGAGACCTGCCCTCTCCACTTCCCTTCCCCGCTGCAACCCCACCTCCTCTGAAAAGGACCAGAGCGCCTCTCCATCTGCGTCACGGTGGGGACAGGACGTTCGCGCCGAGGTATTTTAAGAACTTTCCCAAGCAGAGACTCCCACCCAGACAATGCGCCACACACAAAACAATCACCAGGAGTAAGTTTGTGCGTCCTGAAGAGGAATAGAGAAACCACTGCACCGAACTACGGAGGTACAGATTTACCCCGGCAGCACCATCCATTTGCAGCAGTGCCTAAAATCCGCCTTCTGCAGAACGGTTCGCAGCGCCCGTGGAACTCCCAATGGCTTTACAAAATAAAATAATTTAATACAAAATAAAAACAGCGTAGGCACTGGAGGAAGCTGGGTACGTAAAACTGGTTACACTTGGTTAACGTGCTCTAGGTCTGATTACCCAGACTCCGCTTTGAGCGGCTGGCAGAGGCTGCTCCTGGCCCGCGCGGGCGTGTGGACACGGGTGTCTGCGACTCGGCAGCGGGCGGGAACTTTCTCGGACGGCAGAGCCGCCAGGCAGTCTGCAGTTGCCCCGCGCGCGCCAGGCCGGGTCCCAAGCCCGGAAGACACCCAGGCCAAGGCAGCCCCAGGAGGCAGAGGCTCCACCTGGACGCGCACCCCAGCCCCGCCCCGCTTTGGCCGCGCGGTCAGGTCGCGGCCACCCGTGCCCCACGCCCGCGCGGGCCATGAGCAGCCTCGGCCAGCCCTTCAAGGCGAAACTCTCTTCATCCCCAAATCTGTGCTCCCGAAAAGTGTAGCGAGCCTCTACAAGGGGCGTCAGACACAAAAAAGTCGCCACTCTCCAACCCTCGTTCCACTCCCCTTCTCTTTCCTCCTTTTCTTCAGTGAGGCGGACCAACCGTTACTTTCTCCTCCCCTCCCCTTCCTTCCCTTCCGAAGTCCCCGGCGCAAAGTGGGACTTTGGGGAGCCTCGGTGAATGCGCCTGTCCCCTCATGCGCTGGATCCACAGCTGCCTCTTTTCGTTAAGGCAATAAAGTTCAATTTGTCTGGTTCTTTATGAGCCACGGTGGACTTTCCCGTGCAGTCCGTGCGCTCTCCCTCCCACTAAGCCAAGAGCATCCTATTCACTCCATCCCAGCCTGGATCCCTGAAGGACGTCGGTTCACGCGAGATGGGACTCACCGCGCTCCCTGCAAAGTGCCCCAAACCGCGCGCCCACACACACACAAACACACACACACACACACACATACACACACACAAACACAGTGCCATCCTGTGCTGTCAAAGTCTGTCAGCGCTAAGAGGAGAACGCACAAGCAGGAGTGGCACTGGCGCGGGCACAGCCTAGCAGTGTGTCCGGACTCGCTGTTTGGGTCCCAAACACCCTTGTCAAGATGCCCCGGCGCATAACAAGCTTCGTAAGCCCCAAAGATCACACCAGTGGTCCCGGGGGCCGCGCGGGCGCTGCCGGGCCGGACCTTACCCGCGGGGCGCGTGGTCTCCCGCCGTTCGGCTGGCCCGCGGGCCACAGGGACGCTGCAGCCGGGGTCCCGGAGATGCTGCTGCTCCGCTGCCGCTGCCCGGATACCCGGCGCCAGCATCACTTCTCCACCACCTCCGCCTCCTCGTGCTCTGTTCTCTCGGCTGCCCCTCCCCGGCGGCCGCCTGCAGGACGGGCAGCGCCGGCGGCGCGGCGGGGTGGGCAGCAGCGGAGGCGGCGGCGGCGCCCGCGCGAGCTCGCCCAGCTGCACCAGCTCGAGCAGCCGCGGCGGCAGCCGGAGCACCAGAGCCCGGCTGCGCTTCCCCGGCGATGGCTCTGGCCTCCGCGACTGACAACGCCCGGCAGCCAATCGCTGCCTCGCCTCGCGCGTCTGGGGGAGACCAATCAGAGCGGAAGGCCCAAGGTTTTCCTCCGCCTTTGCTCAGCAGGCTTGTTTCCGGGAGAGGCGGCGATGCTGCTGTGGTTTGGGATGGGGGAGGCGCGGGAGGGGCGCAGGGTGGAGGACTCTTGGCCTTAGGTGCGGCGACACAGCCGGGCCCACCGAGGAGGCCTGGGGCGCTTTCTGACTGCTGAGAGCCCGCGGCTTGGAAGAAAAGGGCGCCTCGGGGTGATTCTGTTCTCAGAGCCTCGGCCCGGCGGTTCAGCGTCTTTGCATCCTTGTGTAAGGGTCGGGGGACCCGAGTACGAACGGCATTGCTGGAGAGAGAATCCCTGAAGGTGGTCGCCGCCTTGAAGGAATCACGCGAACAGTCACCAGACAGCGCCCCCGTCCTTCTCCCATTGGCAGTTTTGGCAGCTGAAAAGAGTGGTACTTCTGAACCTCTGAACAGCTCCTTCTAACAGTAATCAGCCCAGAAGTGTGCACGAGCTAGGAAGGAGGCATATGGAGAAATGTTCTCAAAGTTGTAGATAGAGTGGACCGTCCCTCCCTTCCCTCCAAATAAGCTCCCCCACCTTCACACCCCCCAAGACAAAACAAAACACCACAAGAAGCGATGGAGAAAGATAGTTTCAGCAGACAACCTAGTTGGTTTGCTTTTTTTTCTTTTTCTTTTTCCTTGGAGAATCGCTGCTGAACGATACAATAGGTTTTTTGTTGGTTTGGGGGTGTGTGTGTGTGTGTGTGTGACTCAAACACCGAAGAAGTGAGGTTATTTAGCTAGGAAAGCAAAAGAAAATGAAAGTGGCCAACTCTTGCTGCACCCCTCTCTCCCAAACACTGTAATGATCTTTCCTTGTGAAGCATTTTAAGTCCCTTCTGTGCAAATATGTCTGAAAGGTCCAGAGTTCTAATAAGTCTATAACTCAAGTTGCAGGGGAAAGTAAACTCAGTTCTGCATGAAGGTTTTAATAGGTGTGGGTCTTTCCTCAAGTGACTTTCTCTCTCTGATGGGGCTAGTCATCTGTATCTTACAAGGTCGTTGCAAGGGTCAAAAACCAAGTGCATAAATCAGCTACATAGTTGTCTGACGAATAGTTGGAAATCCATATATGCTAGCTATGCTGCTGCTGCTGTTTCTAATTACATTTTAAATAATCATTTTATTTTTGCAATAATCACTCCTTTCTTCCTTTACTTTACTTTTATGATAACTCCATGTATCCCATGACACCAAAATAAACCCTGCCTAAATTTTATGAGCACTATAAGGAAAATTTGATTGCAGAGTAGATTTGTGAATTGCCATCTTTTAGTGCTATAGGAAATGTATGCATATCAGCCCCAGTCTTCCTTTTTCTTGTGCCCTCCCCCCTTTTAGTCATTTGACTGACCTAGTTTGGGAGCTAGACCATCTCTTCTTAAAGAATCAACTGTGCTAAAACAGATGATGATAAACTTATTTTTTACGCTAAAAATGGAGATATGTACCACATCACTTTCAATTTTTAATCTAGAGAAAGTTTTTGTTATTCTTTGTTTAGTTTTTAAAAAGTATTTATTTTTTGTTATTGTGTAACTTAAAATCAATACCCTCATTTACTACATAAGATGATCAATAGAGGAATGGAGTTTAAGTCTGGGAGAGACAGAAAAAAATAAGTATATTATTTAAACTTCATAGGAAAAGGGAGTTGATATTTGCAAAAAGTAGAAATATTGAAATGAATCTTAAAATTGGAAAATTTCAATGCAATGACAATTTAGAAATATCTGTGATAAAAGATAAATTTAGAATGATCTTCAAAAGACTCATCTTGATTAAAGAAAGCATGTAAGATATGAAAATGTTACCAAACTTTAGAATATTGTAAGCTATTTAGAAGCTTTCAGACATGTACACACACAAATCTCTACATAATTATTCTAACCACTCCTCCATACCCTGCCAAATATACTATTTTTCAGTATCTCAGAATGTTTTTTCATGTTGTATGGTATTTTGCAACACTCAATCCTGAAACTACACGGGTCCTGTGTAGCATATTCCTCAGCGATTAAGGTAATCAAATGACTATCTTAGAGAAGCAAAAAAACTAAAGAAAATCAACATCATGCATACAGATATAAGAGTAACATCTCACATCGCTAGTGCTATGCATAAACAGCTGTGAGCAAAACAAACCTGCACAATTAACAACGTACTAACAGTGAAAACCATGAAATATTTAAAATCAATGAAAATGGAAAATTAAAGTAACTGAAAAGATTGCATGCTGATGTTAGGTTTTATGCATTGCTATGAACTTCATGGGATGTATTGGGCAGAAGGTCCAGTGTTATTTAATTATATGACTAATGAGTTAATTGTATTTAATTAAATAACTGATGTTTCCTTTTTTTTTTTTTGCCTTCTTAGATATGTACATTTTTCTCCCCATACAATAAAGGAACTCACTCAACTTGTTAGTGGAGGAAGAAATTTGCTCAGGCACTACTAAATCAATAACCACTTGCCTAATCTTGAAAATATGTAAAATAATTTCATATTAATCAATGCAAAAAATTTATATTTATTAAGAATAGAACTGAGTACTTTGTTGGCGTCAGTTCTGATAAAACCTACATTTAGCAGGCAGAAAGCTGAATAAAAAAGGAAAGAAATCTGTCTCGTTCCAGCTCTGGTTATGACTGAGTGAGTAATCACAGGTCAGTCACTTAAACCTTCCCAGCATTCCTTATCTGTAAAATAGAGATTAAAAACAAAATCAAACTTATAGCTGCCTTTCTCAGATGTGAGGATTAATGTATAATTGGAACTGCAAGCTACAATAGGTTTTTTGCAGAAAAGCCCTTCCAAAAAGGTAGAGCACTGGAATTTAATGATAATATTTCCTACTCTCTCTTGAATGCTACTTAGTTTATTCTCACAGTAGCCCTGTTCATTATGGACACATAATACCTATTTCTACAGATGAAAATTTTAAGTTCCAAAGAGATTCTTTTTCCAATTTTGTAAGTTGACTTTCAGGCACTCTTTATTTGTTGATGTTGTCCAGCAAGAATGTTTTTCCCGTGGTTCTTTCACTATGCCACTTCCACTATGGTTGAAATATGCAAGTTTAAAGGCTGGCACCTTAATTTAAATGAAGGGCAACCCATTTTGTTTGATATTGGATGTCACTTGTGCCTGGACTGAAGCTATTTCCCCAAATAATATAATTAATTTAACTTCAAATGCATAAAGCTTCATTTTCATATTTAAACTCTAGAGCACCTGTAACAGTGGGTATTACTCATGCTCATGTTAAAAGATTACTATATACCTCTTTTGTTTTAAAAGATTGAAGCAAAATCAAGATAAAAAAATAAAAATGAAAGCCACCAGAAGGGAATTGGATTCTATTCAGTTTATCCTAACTAGTACTTTTTAAAAATATACTTTATACCAAGACCAGTATTCTCTCTCTCTCTCTCTCTCTCTCTCTCTCTCTCTCTCTCTCTCTCTCACACACACACACACACACACACACACACACACACACGAGTGAACAGAATAAAGTCAATCATCAAAATTTTGTAGGAAACAGGACTCCAAACCAAGCAAATGTTCAGACTCCTAGCCTTATTCTCTTGCCCCACATCGTACTCTTCTCCTGAGATTTGTGAGTTCTCGATAGAAAGGGAATCTCTAAAATGAAGAGAATGTAAAAGATATCCAAAGACAAAGGTTAAAGAGTGCAGCAAGCCTAGGAGGCCACCTTAATTAAGAGAAAGTAAGGATGGTGGGGTTTTGGGGGGAGGGGAGGAGGCAAAACTTAATCTGAAATCTAGGAAGACAATTAAAAGTAACATGGTATTGTGGAATCCAATGCAAAAGAAGGTTGTTGCAGGACTGGAAGGTGAATTATATCATCTCTTGGCTATAAGTATTGTCAAGAGATCATGGATTAAGTGAGATCTTTGGTTTCTTTTGAAAGGACAGTTTTGGTAAGATGATTAGGGTGAAAACCATTTGATCCACATGGAATAGGGAAAGGATTAGTCAAATGATTACATTTCTATTGTATTAGAAAAAGAGTTATGTTATTTTAAGTTAAATATTTTGACATAGAGTTGGAGTCATGATTTATGCAGAAGGCTATATAAAAAACTTTAATTGACATAAAGTCTCAAAAAGTCTTACATGATTGACTGTCTTTATTGTTATTATTATAAAAACAAAATCATTTGCAAAGATGTACAATCCTTCAATGAGGGTGAATGTTATAGAAATCAAACCATTACCAAAATTAAAGAAAAGATACTTCTTTAACTACTCTATAGAGTCCATCTTCAGTTTTTATAATTTAGAATTAACTTCTTTGGTTGAATAAGATAATCTAACCTCTTTTAATAATGAGGGGATTTTTTTCCCTTTAGCCTTAATCACTGAAGAACAGCTGCATACTATGTTGGTACAGCATGAATTAGAAGATGGAGAAGGGGCATGCACATGAGTGTGTGTACCTGGAGGGGGGAGTGAGGGAGAAGCAATGGGAGATGGGCGAGTAAGAAGGAGAGACGGAGCAGAGCTTTCAAGTTATTTGTGTAGCAGTTCTCCATGGCTTCATTAATCGATACTTCTTTCAAAAGTCACTTAAAGCAGAGGACACTAAAAAATTAATTAAAAAAAATAATGTCTTCCATGTTACCACAACAGAATGCTAAGAGCCTAGCATAGTGCTAGGAGCTCAATAAATGTTTGATCAAGAAAGAATGAATGTGTGAATGTTGCATGGGCTTTTTTTGGTGGGGGAGGGAGAAGGCTGCTGCTAAAAGTTGAAACCGACTGATAGCATTTAACAAGCTTCTTGTAATTATGATGCTTTTGTTTACACAAATGAAATCTTAACATGTAAATTTATTTCCCAGGGTTCCCCACGATTGTTGGCCAGAGCACAGAATTGGATCCGTTCTCCTTAGACTAAATTTTCATTTTCCCTTTGCATCCCAGCCCCTCACCCAGTCAGGCTTTTAACTAATTCTCCAGGTGTTTTAAGGTGATTAGGAAGTGTGCCTAGAGAATGATCCTACCTGCCTGGGAGACAAGTGCTAATAAAAGGTCAAAGCTGAGTTCCTGGCGATTGGGATCGCTGAAGCTAATAGCATGAATCATCATTAGCTTTTACTGATGCCAAGTCATGCAAGTCTGTGCAGTTCATACAGAAAGAGAAATTTGGATCAATAGGGCTTTATGCTACCATGCAGCTTGATAATTACTTTCTGGAAATTGTTTGTAAAGCTTTTTTCTTCCTTAAAAAAATTATTCTCTGTTCAGAAAGCCTGCCTCAGTCACTGTACCTATAGTGCAAGATACACCTATCAAGTTTTCCCTTAGCAATCTTTTTCTTTGATGTTGTGTTACCATGGAGGTTGGCTGTATGCATAGCCTATATTCAATAACGTTTGGTGCCTATTTAACAGTGGCCTGATATTTCATTACAGGATTGCTATTTTGAAGTCACTTCTCTGAATGTCTATAACACCAAGTCACAAGCATATTTCAGCACTTGGTTTGCTAGTATACTGGCGGTTGACCTGGTGATGCTAGGACGAGGTGGGCCATGTTGTTTAGTTGGTAGGTGAAGCATACACACCATTGCTGCTTCTCTTTTGTGGCACACTGATGATGCAGAGACTCAGTGAGTACTAGTGAACACTTTCTCATTCACAGGGAAAAATATAATAGACTTGCACATCTCAGTGTTGAAGGCCTGAAGTAAAATTACCCGACAAGATATTTTATACTCTTGCTGTGTCAAGAATTTTTGAGGCTTCAAAATAAACCAGGAAGTTGAGAGCATGTGCTTATGAGCTTAATACTGTAGGATGCAAGTTACTTTGCACATAGACTCAGTCATGGCCATTTGCTGTTAGCTGCTAGCAGAAGGGACTTTTGGATGTGATTAGAAAAAGACAGTAGTGGAAGCAAGTTTTTAAAAAGTGATAGAAAAACCTAATTTCCCTTTTAGCATTATTTAATCATAAAGTGAAAATCTGGTTTCACATTTCAGAATTTCCTTAAAATCTAGCTTATGTAAACTGGGATATTAGAAATCTTATGGTCTAGATCTTTAAGTCCCTGGCTTACAATCCTTTCTAAGATACTTACAACTCTATTTCTCTATAGATGACTTTTCTCTTCTAACAGATGTGAATTCTTGAGCTTATGCTAATGTCTCTGAATCGAGAAATCATTATTTCATTTAATTTTAAAAACTTGTAATCATAATGGCTTCTATTTTTGGACCCTTCAGTATTTTGATTGAGGTTTTATGTGTAGACACTGCATTCAGTTTATTTTTCTTAATTGTACGCACAAGTTAGACCTATATAGTACTTGACTTGAATACTTCATTCTTAGAAAGGCAATTCTCATTATTATAAAACACTTTTCAACTGAGACATTAATTACAAATATTTATAAAACGGACATTGCAAAACATGGCTGCATAGGGTAAGATAAGTCAGATTCCCAATGTGCTACATTTGCAGCATCTCTATCACGCTTCGTGTATTCTAGAAATATGTTATATTAGAATTAATGCTAATATATATAAGAAAGATAGATGACAATGTCTTTTACTTTGCTTGTATTTAACTATCTCCCCCACTGCCTCTTGGATGGAGGCATGAGGCCGTGGCGCTGTAGTTTTTAAGTCTTTAGTGTAAATCTCCCTGAATAAATCCAGTGCTAAGCCACAGGCCATCACAAGCCCTTCTAACAGCACACCAGACTTACCTCTGCTAGTCAAGTATACCAAAGGCATGACAGGACACACATTAGGTGTTATATGAAGTCTCAAGAAGTTGTAGCAACTTGGAAATCCCTTAACAGAACATTCAAATCAGATAGGTTACTGTAACTAATTATTGTCCTTTTATCTTTGAAAATATTGTTATTTCTGGGAATCCAACAGGAGACCCTAGAATGTAAAAGCAGCAGATTGAATTTGAGCTGGAAGATAATTTCCAACAGCTGGTATTGGCACTGGACCATAGATCCTTTTTGTTGGCTTTAGCGTCTAGGGGCAAGAACATCATAGTTTTCTGAAGAGTACTAGGATAATTGCATGAAGCTCAATTTCAGATCAGCCAAAAGAAGAAAATAAAAGAAATGCCAAAAATTGTTCAAGTATCCTTTTTTGATTTAAGGGGAATCTAAGGAAAATTAACCACTAAGTCATGAACATATTATGTCTATGTTCACTGGAACGGAGTGGCTAGAATACAATGACATAAACACAAGTGAGACGTATATTTGGTAGGTTTTTCTGGACATTGAGTAATAATGGTACAGTACAATGAGTGCTAATTTTGGTGATCAACTGAAAATGTGTTTAACAGAAGCATGGTTTGCATCATTTTGGAAATGATCACACCACAAAACCTCAACCATCCTATGCACATTTTCATTTATATTAAGTGGGTAATGACAGGGATGTTTTAAAGTATTTTACTTTCTAAGCAATAGAATGAAGTAATTAAGAATGGAGATTCTGGGGACAGACTAACCTGAGTTAAAATTCTAGGTCTACCTCTTATGAGATGTGTGACCTAGCCAAGTTACTCATATTTCTGTGCCTAAATTTCCTCAGTTGTGTAAAATGAGGATAATAATTTTATCCAGTTCTTAGAGGGACTTTGAAATTTAAATGAGATGATATATTCTAAGTACTTAGTTCAGTATCTGAAGATAGCTGCCCAATATATATTAGCTATGTAGGCAACTGTTGCTATTATTAATCAATATATTACAGCAAGAATAATCATAAAGTCGAGGTAGTTGAATTGCTTTAACTTTCATTCACTCTTTCAAAGCTCAATCCAGTCTTATAGTTTTTGCTCAGGCATTTTCCACTAATGCAGATATGTTTCGTCATTGCAAGTGAATTTCAGGGGCCATTTCTTTGTCTCTTTTTTCTGGGAAATCTTTCCTAAAGTGTTTGTTAGGATAGCTACCCTGCAACAGATAAATTCCAATATATCAATAGCTTACCACAATAAAAATTGAGTTCTCACTCCTTGTTCTATTGGTGTTGTGAGGAGAAACAAAGGGATTTTCTCCACACAGTCATTCAGGCTCTTCCATCTTCAACATAGCTTTCAAAATGATTCCAGAAATCAACATCCAGATGAAAGGTGGAATATGAGAGAAAGAAGGATTATTCAGGTGTGGTGTGCATCATTTCCACTGACATTTTATTGGCCCAAACTCAATGACATGGCCATATTAACTGCAAGGGAGTCTGGGAATGGCCCTCTGTGTACCCAGAGGAAAGAGAAGTGCATTTAGTGAACAGCTCATCAGTTTCTGCCCCAGGCTGCTGCCCTTTTTTTAATTTCAATCAACCCTCTCTATGTTAAGAAAGATAAACCGGTTCCCAACCAGATGCTGCATCAGGCTCAAAACCAAGATGTTTGTGTGCTGCACATCCTTCTCCATCAGAATCTCATGTACTTTCTCATAAACTGTAAACTAAAAGATTAGTTATCTACCTATTTCCAATGAACAATGGTAAACATGGTATCAATTAAAAACTATCTTCTTAGAAATGAGAATAGTGGGAGATACTAAGGAGACGCTGGTCCATAGCAGTCAAGAAAACTTCATTATGGGACTTGTAAAAGGCCCCAGTCTTGGTGAGGAGAAGCTGCTTAGTGAGGCCCTGATTTCTGGGAGGAACTCTCCTGTGCACATTTCTCTATGGCCCTGTTGCCACCTGCAGGAAGAATTTTCCCTTGTAAATTTTTCTCCGTGATCCCATATGAAGCTGGTGATGGGGGACGTGCTCTTCTTTTGCAGCCTGCTTCTTGCTGGTGCAAGTTTGGAAACTTGAAGATTGTTTCAAACTCTAAAGAGTTCAAGTTTTGTTGTCATTTTCATTGTTGTTGTTGTAGTCGTATTTTTATTTTATTTTATCTTTTTTGAGAGGAAGATTGGCCCTGAGCTAACATCTGTGTCAATCTTCCTCTATTTTGTATGTGGGATGCCTCCAGAGCATGGCTTGATGAGCAGTGTGTACGTCCGGGCCTGGGATCAGAACCCATGAACTCTGGGCCACCAAAGCAGAACACGTGAACTTAACCACTACACCACCAGGCCAGCCCCTGTAGTTGTTTTTAAAGCCTGAACTTCTGATTTCTTTCATAATACAATTATCAAAAATTTATTAGGCTTCTGTCCTATTTGTTTCCAGACAGTCCTGTATGTTAGTGTTCACACTTGAAATTGATTCTTAGACATAATTCTCAAGCTTTATTTATTTGTTTTTATTCTTGTACTTCCTCCCCTTAAGCTTCAACTCAACGGAAGCTTCTTTGATATCAACAGAAGTGGGTGGGGTGGATATACTCTTAGACCAACTTAATGGACCAAGTTACTCAGTTTTGTTCTTTGTTTGTTTGGGTTTTTTCCTCCACAAAGCCCCAGTGTATGGTTGTATAGAAGTCCTTCTAGTCCTTTTATGTGAGTCTCTGACACAGCATGGTGACTGATGGCTGGTGTTGTTCTGCAACTGGGAAAGGAATCTAGGCTACCAAAATTGTGAAAACGCCAAACTTTAACCACTAGGCCATCAGGGCTGGCTCCCAGTGTATTTTTAAATCACATTCCCTAATATGAGAGGACCAGCATCAGTCAAATTTGTCAACACTTTGTCTCCAAATTTTTGGTCTTTCACTGTTCCCTTTCGTTTCTGCTTATAAACTGACCAATGCCTGGCCGACCTCATCTCTCTTTTTTTAAATAGCAAGCTAAATATAGCTATTAACAAATAACGCTCACTGTTACAGTTGCATTTTCCAACTTCTTCCCCTAGTTCTAAAGGCTCAGTGGATATTTGGAATTATTTACTTTATTGCTGACAACAATTTTTCCAAATATTTTGCCTGCACGTGACGTCATTTTACATCTTTCAAACTCATAATGTTATTTTTTTTTTTTGCAGCCTGCTGCCCAACTATTAAGCTAGTGCCACATATTGTAGGTTTTTGTTCTATAACATGCTACTTCTAGTACCAATCTGTGTGTTAGAGTAACACTACTTGCTGTGACAGATGTATCTGGAAATATTATTGGCATAAATTAGTGGAAGTTTATTTCTTGCTCTCATA